GGTGTCAACAAAGTCTACTGGGACACCGGGTAGAAGCTGACGTGTACATTGTGTTACTAGTCTGGTCTGCGTCCTAGTGAACTACTACGTAACTGGTGGTGTAACGGGAGCACACTCGTAATGGATTGAGAAGTCTAGGTTCGAATCCTAGCAAAGTTGACGTGGAAGAAGTCACAAAGGAACCGGTATACACGCCGCAACGCCGTCGCTCTATTAATTGTTGTGTAGGACAATTACTTGTTATATTGTGAGCTTATTGAAACCAGTACTTGTCATTTGTTTGTAGGCTAGTGATATTGTTAATTTAATGTAATCTCGGTTCGTTGAGTTGTGTCGACCACTCATTATATAGTATAGAATCGTTTAATTTATCCCTGTTTTGATCAGGGGTACCCTGGTTAGGACATTGAATGTGTCACGTCCTGAGTTGTATTTATTTAACGCGTTTGTAATAGTGTCATGTGTAGTAAAATAGTATTGTGAATATTCAAATAAGATAGTTTCATTGCATTTAATTGTATGCCAGTGCACGATTATGGATGGAGTAGCAGGACGAAGGTATTTCTGACCGAGCTTGGTGACATGGAGATATTGTAGTGTTAAAATACAGTATGTAAATTACGTCATTATAACATAATTATTTACATTGTAAATGCATAATATAGTAATGTTATAAAGTTGGACTCATTTTTTACTCCTGTGTGCATGCACAAAAAGGAAGTCTTTACAGTTAGTGTGTCTGTCTGTGTGTCTGTTCCATCGAATTTTCAAGAACCAATGTTCTGATTTCAATGAAACTTGGTATACAACTTGTCTGGGGCAATGCGCAGAATTTATTAGTTTTTGATTGACATCCATGCATATTAATGAGCTCATCTACATAATAATGTGTGAATTTTAAGCTATTTCAGTTATATCTCAAGAAGCATTAAAACGATTTTTATGTAACTTGGTAAGAATGTTACTAATGATTGGCTGCTGCAATTCATTGTTGTATTTTACATTTTAATTAAAATTTAGCATTTTTTATGTATTTTTTTATTATTTTTTTTTTTTATTTTTTCTGCCCAATTGCATGAATACAACTAATAGGAATCTGTGAGTGGACTAATTTGCATAATGATGCGCATGCGTATTCTATTTTTTATGACCAGCAATTTATGATGGTGTCAGCCATTTTGTTATTTCCAGTGTGTTGTACAAAAACGAAGCAACCGCCCGGGAGATGACATGTATCAGTTTACATTATGAAAAGGTCTAAGAAATTACATGTATGATTTTTTATTTCGTACAAGTAAATAAATAAACAAGTAATTGAACAAATGAAACCTCAATGACTGTGAAACGAATTACTGTGCAAGCTAGTTTATATTCACGTGTGGTGTACAATTACATTCAAGCCACAGACCATTGAACCCTGTGTGAGCCCAGTCAAGAAAATAATGAATGTGAGATTCATCATCGCCAAAAACATGGCAGTGTTGAAGATATGAAGATGGTTAGTAGGTTCGATTTCATGGTAAAATGTTGTGTAAATTCGTTGTACTTGTGAATCCTGATTTATCACCGTATTATTGAACGCGAGAACAAACATGGTGACCTCCAGCATCAATGTAGTTGTATCAAGTCGCTGCCGTAAGGAGATATTTCCTTTGTATTGCTTACCAACATTGTATTGTACTTCTTTCCTTTATGAATTATATATATACACATTTGGAAACTTGCATGGTGCACTTTCACCCCCACCCTCTCCAAATTACGAAGCTATCAAGTCGATTAGTAGGTATAGAATGTCTATGCGTGTTGATGACTACTGCGTTGGGTAAGGGCTTCTCGTACGTAAAATGGGGCACATTCCCAGTAAAAATATCTTTTTACACAGAGCTGACAAAATTCGCCTACATGTGTAAATATATGTTGGGATTTGGAAAAAAAAAACTCTTGAAACATACCGAATTTACCGTGACAGCTGTGATCAATTTTGGTGCCGATTGTTGGTGGGCTAATCAGCATGTTGGATTATTTCTGAGAACGTTCTTCGTGTGGGAAATCACAAAATCATTAGCACTAAGTAGGCTTGATTACCTTATTTTTGTGTCAGAGTACCCTGTACAAATGAAATGAATCGACATGCGATGATTACCAAAACAATTTGACAATCGATGTCTCATTTGTTCACCGCCCCCTCAACACGGTGATTTGTTATGAGGGGTATTTTTTCCCGGCCCTTTTTGTCGGAAATTACAAATTCATTGGCTCTAATATATCCTAGTTTACTTTAGTTGTTTCATCCGAGTATTCTGTACATTGATTTTACCTAGCAAAAGAAACAATCGGAGTCTGGCTTTGTTATATCATGGAGCTATTTACACTTTATGTGGGCCCCCAGCTTGGGTCTCGTGTTTCACTATTTGTTTAATTGAATATTACACGGCACGATATCCCTCAAATCAGAATGCACATTTATTGCTCGAGTTGCTGTTCCTATTAAGATAAGCCATGGAGCAAAAAAGAAAATATGGTTAAGCTGAATACCATGCTTCATGTGGAATGTATAGACCGTGATGTCGGCATTAACTACTGGATGCACAGTGGAAACCACTGGGGCAACACCACGCTGACCGGCGTCTCCTGTCTGGTAAAAAATACAAACATGCGGGACGGGGTGCAGGGTTTTAAGCTGTCGTAGATGTTTTCAAAACGAAAATTAGTGAACAGGTTTTGTTTTGAGTCACTTAAAATGTCCTGTATGTATTTTGGGTTGGTACTCATCGCGTGCGACGTGCCCCAGATAGTGTCAATTCATACGCAGTAACAAATGAGACGCGTTGGGGATTACTATGAATTTTATGTACCGAGAAGTCTGCCGTAAATTATTAATATTTGTTATGGTACTGAGCTGTATGATGGTTGTAATTTTACCATGTCGATTTTCGGAATATACGAACCAATCGAAGGGGCTCTAAAGATTGTGATGCCTTCCTTATTAATATGCGTAACTAAAAAAAAAAAAAAAATATAATATTTATTGACACACATATTGATACTAAGATTTGATATTAAGATTTGAATTTTAGATATTTAGATTGTGATTGTTTGTCAGAAATTTACATAGTTGTTCTTGCTACTTTACGTTTTATGTGTTAATTAAATTTCTAAAATATTTTTAAATGCCCTATAAGTTTATTTTGGGTATTTATTTGTTTACTATTTTTGTTGCATTTCATTTCCCCCAATGTTTTATGAATTATTTCAGTTTTCTTTTTAATGTTTCAATTTTGTGTAGACTTTTTATGCATATTTTTAAGTAGGCTTATTGTAGGTATACGATGTCTATGTGTGTAGATGACTACTGGTGGTTCCAAATTTAATAGATTATTCATAATTTGTTTATCATTTTCAAATATTCCCGAATATTACATCATGATCCCTATTCCCTCAGCACACGGGAGTTCTTTCTAAGCTTTCTTTGATTTTGGTTATTATAACTTTTTTAAAAACGAAATTTTTCAGCTGTGTAGTAAGTAATTTAACATTTCAAGATTACTTTTATACGTATTGAATTATTAAAACGCACTTATGTGAATGGTTTTCTGTCAATAATTGTTGATTTATTGAAATTCATACCTTTGGCCATTGTCATTCTTTGCTGTGTTTTTGTGGCTGACTCAAGGAGCTCATTATTTTCTTTCAGCAAAGGTGGTGTTCCTACGTTGTCAGCCATGATGGAATCCCCTGCACTGCCTCGTTTTCGTCTAAGAGTTCCCCAGCCTTTAACCACGTGTTCTGTTTTCAATGTCCAACGAATTCACATAAAACTGAAGGTAATATCGTCAAACCAATAACAATAATTCAACTTTGATAAATTCAGTTCTCTCCAACTTGCGGTTGTATTTGTTGTAGAATGAACCCAATATTTGTGGACCTCGCTTTCAACTAACCTTTGACCTCTCAATATTGCGCATGCTCAGTTTCACTGTACAATTTTTGCTTGCCAACACATACAAAAAGCATGAAAAATTGTACTCATCCTGTTCGTTTTAGGTGAAACATGCTCGAAATCGATTCTGATCTGGTACTCCATGAAGATTTAAGAACATTGCCCCGCTAACTTCTGTCGTTCGTACTTCTGTTTTGTCTCTTTCAACGTGATATTCTCGCTTAAACTGGGCGTACATGGTCGGGTCGGAAACAACGTACACACCAATCGCCATGCCCAAAAGGAAATGGGAGGTCCACCCGGGCCGAAATAAGTTTTATTGCAATGGCCGAATTATGATGGCACGATCAACCAGTGTATTTTATTTTACAGTCGGACTCATCGTGATCACTATGGGTCTCTTCTTTGGTTTTGAGTAAGTATTGCCCTATCGTATTTTCATTTCCAGGCTGCTTTGTATGTGGACGAAATATTTGTCTGATCGCTATTAATACACTAATTCCAAGCCATCGACTCGCGTCACTAAAATTCCCTTGTACAAACAAACAAACCATACGGTATGTACGGTTTATTTTTGGTGCTGAACATGGGACGTTGTTGCATTTGCTTACCGTGTGCTTGACTCGTATCGGCTTTATTGGTACTATATCTCTGTTTTGAAACTGAGTGCGACATGTCTAGGGTGAGTCATGATTCATGTTCATCATGGACGTTGCCTTCTGACGTACTTCAAGTCATTAACCAATGACTCACTCATAGTTCGGGTAAACTATTTTATTAATCAGTTTATATTTTTCATAATTGTATCTCGCGGAAAAATGAATTCAATCGTGGAAAACAAATAATTGTCTCACTGAAACAAATCACAGCTTTATGTGAAACATCAGTTGATAAACAATACATAATTAACATGTGTGTGCGTGTGTGTGTGTGTATGTGTGTGTGTGTGTGTGTGTGTGTGTGAAGGGTTTCTTTGTAATTCATTTTGTTATATCAATTTTGGAGTATACAAATTGTTGCAAGACCTCTGTGCTTAATGAGGTTCCAAATGTGTACATTCATCTGCTGACATGTACGAAAGCCATATATAGGAAAAACAGTATCTTTCCAAGCTCTCTGTTTATATGTTTTTTTGGCATTTATGTGATTACAACTCAATACCCTATTTGCTCTATTAGAAGTGCATATAAAGCAAACATATCATTGACTGTATACTCAATAGAATCATTAGAATATTGCTTATTTTGATCATAGAAAAATCACTGTAATTAAAATAAGCACTTACATTACTACTAGAGTAAATATGGTATTTTTTCAGTTGTACAAAAATGTACAGGTGTTCATTTTTAGCAGCAGAAGACCAAATCATCTGTCTTTTCTGTTCTTTCTGTCACCTGTCAACAAATAAACTCTGCCGTGAATGGTTACTCCTTGATAGCCGTCACTATCTGATGTTCCTGCAATTTGATTGGTACCGACAAAAAATTGCCCGGGGAAGTAAAAACTACACTATAGTATTGGAGCACCGCGGAGGGCGCAACTCACGCGACTATAAATGTGAATGTAAACCATAAATGTGTCTATCCTATTCTAAATAATTGATTTGAACACCCTGATATGCATTGAGTAGCTTTACATTGAGTCTCAAATTACTTGTAAGTTGTATGTAAGATTAAAATTGTACATTACCTATGTTACTCCTGTTAATATGCAACTTCTTCCATTTAAAATTTATTTTAATATAGTGGTGGTGGTAATAATGTATAGGTGACATTAAATAGATTGGGTCAAGACATGTGCTGCATATGTGTTTTCACTTTAGTATGTGATGTGACTACAATGGACTATGATTCAGTGTGGATTTGTTCATTCTTCTTTAATGGGTCACTATGACCTATATTTGACACTAATTACCCACATTTATGTCACATGTGCTTTTATTTGTGCTAAAAATAAGCCTGATTTGACCTTTGACCTAATTGATCTCCATGAGTTTTACTAACAGTTTTTATTTAATATTTTACCTTGTCCAATCATAACATGGGACACTCTAATAATTAATAGAATATTTATTGTTTAACACTTTCAGGGTCATCATTTTTCATTGACTATGATAATGTTTTTGAGAAAATCCCATGCTTAACTGTAAAATTGATACACAGGCTTCCATGAAGAAAAAGTAAAACATGACCCTTTTGCAATTTTTTCGAAACACTCAGAGTTGATATGGTAGAAAAAAAATGGTTCACAAATAAACGTACGTGGGTCATTAAACTTTTTAAAATTAGTTTGCGATACTCTAAATGCAAGTGTGATATCATTTTGTACACAGATTTACCGATATCCTTGAAACTTGAATACATAAAATAAAAAAATAAATCCCAAAATAAAATATTTCCGAGATGAAAACAACAGTTTCTGCTTCCCCGATCATAAGCCCAGATGCCTGAACATGTAAAATCAAGAAAATTAGGGGGTGGGCTTCAAGGACCACCTCAGAAAAGATCATTTTTTGGTGGGTTAAAAATTGTAACCATCTTCCTATCTACGAACAATTGTGCAAATTGTGCGTCTTTGTGAGGGGAAAAAATGAGAAACAATTGAGTCGTCATTGATTTCCATGACACTTTTTTACAATAAAGAAACAAACATGTTCATAAAAATATGCACATTTTATTACAATGTGATTTACATTATACCATCTGAATATGTAAAAATGGGTATGGTCTGTGGGAAATAAGTCAAAGGCAAGATCTTTATTATTATCTTTCTTAATGACGAAATTTTCCGATTACTGACGAAGAAATTTTTTCAACGTAATGCGGAAATGAATTACCGTGATGTAAAAATGTTAACACTGATTTCGACAAAAAAAAACAGTTTTTTCCCTAAAAGCTGTTGATTCGCAATTTTTGAAAGGTAAACTGAGAGTGGAAGAAGTATTTCAACCTTTCACGGTCGCCAACAAGTCATGTCGAAGAATAGCTTGCTCGTTCACACCCCATTCATTCGATCACATTTTTGGCGTTTCTAAAACTACTACTTAAAAGAAATATGGTTTACTTCAGTATTGCAACATCGAGTTTCATCCTAACTAAATAACAGAATAGAAAAAGTGCAAACCGTGTTCCGTCCCCACCATGTGCTCTGAAAATAATGTTATTTTCTCGTAAAAGCAGGAGCCAAACTACCATACCAATCACGATTTTTACCTTGCCCGTACCATCAAAGATGGAAGGGAAAGGTATATTAAGGGAAAAA